TAATGTATATTTTAGTGAACTGCTAGGTCCTCCACCCTCTAGTTACATTTATAGTTGTATCATGTTGTCCCTGCCCTAGCAATGAAGAAGTAATATAATAGGAGGGTTTGCTCTGATTTTTTTAGAATTTTACAGCTTTAATTTAATCTTTTACGAATGATATAATTTGTTATAGGGAGAACGGCATTTTCCCACCCAAGGTTTGATGAAACGACACTTTTCCACCCATCAAGTTTCAAAATGACACTTTCCCATCCTTCGTTAGGTTCTATTAGTATTTTCTGTTAATATTTGATTAAAAAGATGAAAATGCCCTTAAATATTGTATTTCCTAATGTTGATTATAAATTAAAATTTAGTTAATTCAAAGTCTTTATTCGATTATTTATTAGTTAAAGTATAAAGATAAATTTTTTTCTTTGCTTATTCAAGTAATTAGGAATATTGATTTTTTATGTTAATTAGGAAAAATGAAAAACATTATAAATAATAGTGATGTGATATTGATGACATTATAAATAAATATTAATATTATTTAACTTTAAATAGTTTTATAGTATTACTGCTAACTTTTTAGGTGGGGTTAACTATTTTTTCTTTTTTGAATTTTTAATATTTGACTTTTTGGCTAATTAAAAAATAAAAAAAAATTTATAAAGTAAAATATTTAGGGGTATTTTTGTCTTTTCAGTAAAATACTAACGAAAAACATAACAGATCTAATGAATGGTGGAACAGTGTCATTTTAAAACCTAATAGGTGGGAAAGTTTTATTTTGCCAAACCTTGAGTGGGAAAATGTCGTTCTCCCTTTGTTATAAACATCATTTAACAATCTCCATCGATCTCCCAACATTATATATTTCAAATATAATATGGCACATTTAATTCTCAAAGACCACTGGCTGTAATTAAGTTGATGTACTACATCACATGGTTGTTATCTCTTTAATTCAATACTAAATAAATACCAAGATAATGAACAACAAAGAATATTTGTAATCCTCTCTCCGAATAAAAAAATCAATTACATATGTTAATTATAATATTATAATTAACTTAATCCTTCAAGTAAAGTTGGAAATTATAGCCTCATTTAGTATGCAAGAACAGTGGGAAAATTCATCATGAGGGACTAATATTTAATCAATAGCATAGTAACTCTGAAAGATTGAGAGCATATATATATATATCTATCTTGAAATATTCATAAAATCTCAAATTCTCTTAATAACATTCAGAATATTTATTATTTTGTTAGAAACATAATCAAAAAGTACCTAACATACATCATAAATATAATCTTCATCTGTCTCCTCAGAATTAGTTCTTTTCTGAGGAAACAAATGAAGATCATTAATTTCAAAGGTATATAATGTGGGGCACATGCAATTCTCAACCTATATCACAATTCACATGGTTGTGGTCCTCAGTTTATCTCTATAATTCAACAGTAAATATCTCTTTAATTCTCAAAGGCCTGCCCATGTGCCGATGCCTGATGGCTATCGGTCATTTATCTCTCAAAATTAGGTAAGGTTTCAATTTAAATGCGAAACTTACTTTGCAAGATTAACACTATTCTTTAGATATAAATATATGGTTGAATTTGTAGCATAGTTTTAATTAATAGATATATTGATGAGTTAGGTAGGTTTACAGAATACATTTTTCACTTATCAAATTAAATAGTCAAGATCATATATAGAGAGTGAGAGAGATGGGGATTATGATTAGTCATGACTTACAAACTAAGAATTAATGAGTTTATAAAAATTAATATTAGTGATCATCTAGTTTAGAATTAAGGAGTTTTGTTAAATAACTAACTAACTAATAATATTATAAGTAAATTTGCATCATATTTAATGGAAAGTCCAGGTTCTCGTACTCATACTGTCTATTACTAGTTCATACATCCCTAGCTAGGAGGAGCCTCCCTTACCGCAAGAAATGAATCTACAACCCTCGTAGAGATGTGACAATATGAACGATTTCTTTAGTCAGTATCCAATGATCTTATCCCCAGCTAAAAAAAGGTACTGCACGGGCAGCCATGTGATTCAGTGTTTGTTCAACTTCATCTTCAAAAGATTTGAGTTAAGAAACATCAGGTGGGACACATACCTGTGACCCCGGATGAAGTTCTTATTTATTATTTTATTCATATTTTGTATAACTATTAAATATACATAGTCCATCCATCGTTGATTGTAGGTTTAAGAGAGAGAGAGAGAGAGAGAATGCATATCAGAATTGTATGTGGTGTGCGGGATAAAGTCATTCATCTACATTGAACCTGAAGTGAAGCAATTAAGGATCACCATTGAAAAGGTCAGTGCATAATCTTTACATTTTATGATTGTGGTTGAGGGTTTAGAGAATGAATAATACTACGCTTCTCAAATGATATCCCAAATTTCCTATCCCAAGTGATGTGTTCTCTTATGTGGTTTTGATGTGTAAATAAAGAGTTGAGGTACTAAATGACATGTCAACGTATTAGAAGAGTTGAGGTATCCCAACCAAATCTTAGTCTTACTCAGATCCCAGTCTTACTTACATTTGAATAGAAGCATAGAAAGATCACAATTAATGGAGAAATGGTATGAGTGGCTCGTATAGACCCACTGGGGTTGAGCTCAACAATTAATTGAACCACCTACTGAATGAGAAGCATTGATAAAACCTTTATATGTATGAAAATATAAACAGTCACTTTTAGGCTATTATAGGGTAAAACTCTAACCCTAATCTCTAGATTTAATTCTTCACTTCATTAAAGCTCGCAACAGAAATGAGAAAAAATGATCATATACCAAAAGTTTGAAAACTTCTTTGGCAGACCCCAGAATCTAAATTGAAAACCCCAGAATCACTTTTAGGCCATTATAGGGTAAAACTCTAACCCTAATCTCTAGATTTAAGTTGAATAATATTCACCATAACCAACAATATTTTACTCTTAACAATTGATAAATGGAAGCAGAGATCGACCACATGATTAGAGATAGTCAATGGCCAAATCAAATAAACAAAACCCAATCACAATATCCTGATTTGAGAAAATCAAACTCACGTTTACAATTAAGAAAACTCATAATTTATAACTCACAAATGCAATCAAAATATAGAAACTGATGCAACATAAACTATTCACAAATCAATCATAACATCATCAGAACCCAAATTAAATTTCATCACGAATTATATTAGATATTTGGATTACAGTATTAGCTTTCACATTAGACCGGCACCAAAAAACTACCAGACCCAGTTCANAAAAAAAAAAAAAAAAAAAAAAAAAAAAAACAGTTGTTGTAGTAGAAAAATGAATAATATAATTTGCAAATTAATCATAAGTTCCAGTTGACCTTTATTTTAAGAGAGAACGACATGTGTCCACCCAAAGTTTGGCGAAATGACAATTTTTCACCCATCAAGTTTCAAAACGACCATTTTCTCACCCACAGTCCGTTAACTTTAACTAGAAAAAGGATAGAATGGTAAATTTAAAAACCAGATAAAGGGTATTTATGTCATTTTATCTCTTATATATAAACTTTTGAAAAAAAATACCCTGAATCAAACGCTTCCTTCCTCACCGCACTACCGCTCTCCACAACTTTTCCTATCAACGCCATTATCGGTCAAGCTCTCCCCTATGCTCAGTTCATATGCCAAGTTAACTCTCTCTCCTTCTCACTCAAGACACACTACTCTCTGCGCCAAATGATATCACTTTCATCATTTCCCCTCCCCCACCAATTGCCCAGATCTGGCATTATATTGTTGTTATTTGGGAAAATGGGTTGTTTTTTGTTTATTGAATTGTTGGGGAATTGATGTGATCAGAGAAGTGATGGTAAAAAGGGAATCGCACGAGATCCGCGTCGATTTGGCCAGATGCGATTTGGTCGCCAAGGTATTGGAAGCTCTTCTCATGAGAGGTCATGTTGAGGAAGCCCTTGAACGCATTGATCTGCTGATGCACAATGGTTGTGCACCCAATTTTGGTAGTCTTCTATATATTCTGTCTGAGAAAAGGAAGATCGTTGTTGCTCTGAAGTTGTTGTATGTCAAAGAGAGTAGTTTTGCCTTTTTATCTCCCTTTCTAATTTTAGTGTAGTTTTTCAAGTAGAGAACTCTTGCTTGAAATTTTTAGTTTGAGAATGATTCGAAGAGCTCCATCTTGATCAGAATAACTTGTGGAAAACATAATGTCATTTGTTCAGAATTTGAAAGGTGTAACACTGCACTAATCGTCTTACTATACCGCATGAAAGTTTTGCTTCATATTTCTGAAAATCCAGTTCTATGTTCAAGCTTCCACAGTCATTTTAACATAAATATTTTAATACCATTTGCAGCTTTGGAAAGGATGATTTGTTTTTAAAATCAGTTTTTTGTTGCAATGTTAATATTGTAACACAATCCAGTGAACCTAAAGCAAAGTCAGGCTTCCAGGGTAAGGTGGAAATCGGCAGCCTTTTTAGCGAAGGAGAAAGAAGAAAAAAGAGAAGGGTAGTTTTGTCTTTACACTGTTTATACATGTTAAAGAACAGATTTTCATGACGGAACATAACGGTAGGTGGGAAAATGTTGTTTTGAAACTTGACGGGTGGGAAAGTGTCTTTTCGTCGAACCTTGGGTGGGAGCATGTCGTTCTCCCTTATTTTAAAATCCGAATTTAAACTCTTACATTTAAAAAGATCCGAACGTGTACATTTCATTCCAAATTATATTTTATCCAAACACTAAGGTAAGATCAAATCTTAGTTAAGGAGATTATATTATACGTGAAAGTCAGTGAAATAATAAAAACTAAAAATTAAAAATTTCGTTGATAACTTATTACGTNAAACATTTATTTGAACTAAGAACTAGTAATTAACATTTGCTAACCGTGAGTTAACAAACTATTGTTTCGGATGGACGTCAATGACTACCCATTTATTAAAGCTTTACGGTTGAATTAATAGTGATTTTAAAGGTTAAAAATCAAGCATCAGACCAGTAGACATCCATTTCGCCCCGGTCTTTCTCAGGCACTCCCAAGGCTTCCCAAACGGCTTTTGAAGCATCCACAATATTGTTAGGGCATGGAGGCTGATAATCATGCTCTGAATCACATCCCATTGTTGAATCGCACTCATCAACTACCTTGGCCTTTACGCTTTTCCCGTTACCATAGATGTTAATATACTTTAAGCATCGACTTCCTTTATTGTACCATCCTGTTGAAAGTGCCACTACAGGGTCGTCATCTGAATGGTACTTGTTGTCACACTCAGATTTTCCACCGCCGTCACCATGTTCCTCAAAACTGTTGATTGTTAAGGTTGCTTTTGTACGACCTGAGGATGAGATTGTGGGTGAACATTTGTAAGTGGTGTAATATTTACCATCCTCACAGCATTCAGAATCGTTCCCTGTGTTACATTGTCCTGGAGGAGGTTTTTTCCCTTTTATCTTGCCACTAAGCTTGCAAGTCCCAGCTTCAACCCTGAATACTGTAACAAGAATTAGAAGGCAAACAAAAAGAAGAAAACTACAGGAAACTTGCTTCTTCATCCCGTAATTACTCTTGTATTGCTTCAAATTTGTGTAAAGAATTGGTGAATTTGTGGTATTATATATATATATATATATAGAGAGAGAGAGAGAGAGAGAGAGAGAGAGAGAGATGATGAATTACTAGCTCTCATTTGCAGTGAAAATTTTAAGGTGGTCTTTCAAAAAATTATGCCGTGCATTCATTAGAAGTATCGTATCAGAAAGACAATGTAGTATACGTGTTGAAAGAATTTCGGAGAATTACAAATGGAATCGAATCAAAGTTTCCAAGTGAATTTCCTACTTCATTATATTTTAATCTTAATTGGTTTTTCATTTTATCGTTAGAATTTATTGGGGAATTTCATTGGATACTAGGAAACTTAGTGGCGGCACTATCTAAGTCTCAGTATGTTTATCCATCGTTAAAGGTAATAATTAAGGACAAAAACTTTTTAACCAATTATACAAATCAATCGTAGAGAAATTGTCATTCACCAGCAGGATTCACTTGGGGAAATCCGGAACATCTAGCTTTCTCAAATGCTAACTGCTTTATATCCATCACCTTAATTTCTATAGCATTGATGATATTTGATTTCTGATCATTAATTCTATATTTTTGTTTAAGGCTACAGCCTCAAGCTAAGTGAGAGGACGTCCAAATGAGTGTAACAAATCATAGAAAAGATTTATTTCAATTTTAATAAAAAATGAACATATACATAAGAAAATGGCAGAGTCATAGAGCTCCTAGCTGCCATGGATTTTCATATGTTTGTAGAAATCAGAAGAAAAGAAATTGAAGACGAGAAATCCTTGAAAGGGCAAACTAAATACAGTATTAAAATTTCTTCCGAAAGGGAAAGTTGGTCTGTTCCTACATGTTTCAGAAGATAACAAATCACAGTAAGATAATTTCACAACAATGATTGTGATATGAATATGATGGATAAGCTACATAAAATGATAATATTATCAAGCGAGACAAGATGCCTTCGAATTAACAATATATTTCGTCCGCTTCTTAATTGTTGATTATTGTCAGGGAATAATGAATCTAAGAGGAAGTGTTAAAAAATGAACCATTTTTTGTTGAAGGAATGCATGCGACGAGCGTGAGGAAGTCATCTGAAATCATATTCAGTTTATTTTTGCTGTTTTAGGGAAGAAGGGTAGAAGGGTTTGAATTTAGGGTTTTTGTTTTTCTTTTAAGTTTATATATAGGGGATAAGAAAATGACATAATAGAGGATGGCTGAATCCGATCAAACGAGATCTCAAAGTTTACAGCTGCAAAACTTAAAGATCGCGCCACCTCCGCTCGTGCTAGAAGTCGTGGTGGATGCTGTTGTTGTTGTGGAGGTTGTAGATATTGCGTTTGATGCGACAGCGATGGTGGTTGATTTTGTGGAGGCTGTGTCATTATAGTGGAGGATTTTGGGGCAACGATGACAAAGGTTAGGGCACCAAAAGAAAAGGGGGTGGAGAATTTTGGGGCGGTGTGCTCCAAATTGTGTGCCCTAAAAGAATGTCTCAAGCATTGGAATAAAAATGTTTTTGGTGATGTTCATTCAAAAGTGGAGAAGGTCAGGTTGCTTCTTGCCTAGGTGCAGCTTTTCAATTCACAGATGCCTTATACTACGGAAGGTTTTGAGGAAGAAATNTTGATTTTGTGGAGGCTGTGTCATTATAGTGGAGGATTTTGGGGCAACGATGACAAAGGTTAGGGCACCAAAAGAAAAGGGGGTGGAGAATTTTGGGGCGGTGTGCTCCAAATTGCGTGCCCTAAAAGAATGTCTCAAGCATTAGAATAAAAATGTTTTTGGTGATGTTCATTCAAAAGTGGAGAAGGTCAGGTTGCTTCTTGCCTAGGTGCAGCTTTCCAATTCACAAATGCCTTATACTACTGAAGGTTTTGAGGAAGAAATTAAAGCTAAACAAAACTTGGTGGAAGCTTTTCAATGTTAGCATACTTTTTGGAGGGAGAAATCTCGGGTTTCTTGGTTAAAAGAGGGAGATAAATATTCCAAATACTTCCGTAATTGTGCAAAGATTAAACGTGCTAAATCTTTCATTTATGCCCTCTCTATTGATGATATTTTAGTGGAAGATAAGCAAGGAAGAAATATGAAAGGGGGATTGGGATTTTTTCTTTTGCGAGGTGAAGAACTTGAAGATTTTTAAGTAGGTCGGATTTGTTGGGCAACTTTTTTTCAGTTTTTTTATAATTATTTTCAGTTTGGATATGGATTTGGATTAAAGGGTATTTTCCTCTTTGTACTGATTGTCAACAGATTTTACTAACGTTTCTTAATGATGGGTGAGAAAGTGTTGTTTTGAAACTTATTGGGTGGGAAGGGTCCTTTCACCAAACTTTGGGTGGGAAAATGTTGTTCTTCCTTTATAATAAGCCGAACGCTTAGGGATTTATGTCACGGACTTTCATTGTTTTTTTAAAGCAGTTTGCATGTAGACAAACTTCTTGAACGCAAGAGCTAGTGCGTCTGTCCAAAGGGTTGTATTGGCGTGGCGTAACTATGCAACTGTTGAATTGTTTAAAACAAGTATGTTTTGATGTATACAAGCAAGACTACCACTAATTATCTTCTTTCTTGTTGGATATGGTTCATACTTTGCATGGGCTTGAAATCTCCTAGGCAGATGCATTCGAGGGTCTCGCTCCCTAGTGAGTGGGCGGCGGTCCCACTCGCCGATGAGCAAGTTGTCCCCTTCATGGTAAGTTCAATTAGTAATTAGACTTGTTATTATTTTACTAATATTTGGGATCGGGTCAGGGTAGATTTGGATATGTCTAAATGAGATAAAGTTTTCTATTATATGATGTAATAGTGAGAAACCAAGGGTTTAAGACAAAATATAGAGAGTAAGTTGCCGTCATTAAGTTTGTAATTGCTACATAGCTCTAAAACTTAATACAAAATCTCTATTTGAATGTTGAACGTAATTCCTTAATCGGAATGAACCAAAATAAATCAAGTATCCTATTTATTTTTCTGTTTTATTGTATTATGTGTGTTTGGTTGTGGTTTCAACATTTCTATCTATTTAAAAGCTTATTAAGCCAGCGAATGAGGCAGCAACACTAATTTTGGTATGCTCACTACGTGCATGCTAAATGAAGCTCTTAGCCGTGGTCAGGTAAAATTTTCACTTGGATGGCTTTGGTTTTGGAAGATCATTTACTCAAGCCTTTGACTGATTTCTAGCCATGAATTTCCTATTTGGTTCATGGAAAGGATATATTAATATATGCATGAAATTTCTAAATATTGTCGCTTTAACTCTATAGACGAGCAAAATTCTGTTCAGTATGCTGTTTAAATCAGGCCAACAGACTCATAAAGTTACAGATTGTGTGTGTTCATATATCTCAAACTTGCACTTGAGTTTCTCTATTCTGCAGTTTCTTTTTATTTTGTTCATCAACCTTGCACTCATAAAGTATGATCACGAATGAAACGAAGATTCATAATTATATTTCTTATATGTTTATTACATAACAACACAACCTTGACCAACTTAATCAGAAAAAAAAAAAAAAAAAAAAATTTAACACAAACTTAAGCTTCGGGACTTTGTACTTTTGAGTACCCTAATAGAAACATTTATTTTAAATAGCTAACTATTAACGTTAACTAACTACTGTTTCGGATGGACGTCAAATTCAATTGCTGCCCATTTATTAAAGCTTTACGGTTGCATTAATGGTGATTTTAAAGGTTAAAAATCAAGCATCAGACCAGTAGATATCCATTTCGCCCCGGTCTTTTTCAGGCACTCCCAAGGCTTTCCAAACGGCTTTTGAAGCATCCACAATATTGTTGGGGCATGGAGGCTGATAATCATGATCTGAATCACATCCCCTTGTTGAGTCGCACTCGTCAACAACCTTGGCTTTTACACTTTTCCCGTTACCATGGATTTTAATATACTTTAAGCATCGACTCCCTCCATTGTACCATCCTGTTGAAAGTGCCACTACAGGATCGTCATCTGAATGGTACTTGTTGTCACACTCAGATTTTCCACCGCCGTCACCATGTTCCTCAAAACTGTTGATTGTTAGGGTTGCTTTTGTACGACGTGAGGATGAAATTGCGGGTGAACATTTGTAAGTGGTGTAATATCTACCCTCCTTACAGCATTCGGAGTCGTTCCCTGTGTCACATTGTCCTGGAGGTGGCTTTTTCCCTTTTATCTTGCCACTAGGCTTGCAAGTCCCAGCTTCAACACTGAAAGTAACAAGGAAAAAAAGGCTAACAAAAAGAAGAAAACTAGAGTAAATTCGCTCCTTCATCTTGTAATTATTCTTGTATTGCTTTTGAGTTTGTGTGAAGAATACGTGAATTGATGGTAGACTATATATAGGGATGATGAATTTACTAGCTGTCATTTGCAGTGACAATTTTGAGGTGGTCTTTTAAAATATTATACTGTGCATTCATCAGAAGTATCGTATCAGAAAGATACCGTGGTATACGTGTTAAAAGAATCTCGGAGATTAACAACTGGATTCATGTCAGGGTCTCCAAGTGATCAAGCGACAAGACGCTTTGGAATTAACACTATATATAGTCGGCTTCTTACTGTTAGGGAATAAGGAATTTAAGAGGAAGATATAACGTTTTAGTCCCTTCGACTGTTTAATGATAGATGCATGTTATTAAGTTATGAAACTCATCAACAGTATGGAAATAATTAAAAACAAGATTGACTCTACATCAAGCTGAAACTGATTAAACCAGACCGCCAAATAGCTACTGCTCTGGTATAATCATTATTCCCAAAATTTTCATCAAGCTATTAATGGATATAGATCGAGACCAGGGAGTATCAGGATCAACAAACAACTACGTAATTTGAACATGGCAACCAAAGTGTGTTCCANATTAAAATTTTAAGTGAGTATCTTTAAATGTATTTTCACAAATTTAGTTCAAATTCAATTGAATCTATTTAATTATTAATAAAAAATAAAAAATTAAAAAATATGAACATGACGGTTCATGATTTTTTTTGAAAAATCATTTAAGATTATGAATGTAAAGGCTCTCAACCTAAATGGAAGTATATATATATGATTCATAAAAATTACAAAATACATTTTTTCACAAATAAATTATTGTCAATAATGAGTCTATGATATTAAAACATTCCTTAGAGGTGGGAATTTGGGCCCGATCCCAAAAAACCGGACCCAGGATTGGTCCATGGGAGGACTGGTCCTATAAGAATAGTCTTTACTCAAATTCTCAAATTCTCTTCAATTCAATTTATATTAACATTATTCAATTTCTTCCATTTTTCAATTTAATCTATTATTCATATTATTATTTATATTATTCAATTTCTTTTATTTTAATTATTTATTATTTTATCATAAATTCATAATGGATTCCTGAAATTATGCATTCGGAAGATCATCTCCAAATGAGTTTTATGTTCCATCCACAAAATAAATGAAAGGGTTCGATCCCTTTTCAACATTTTCAAAGGCAACAATTCCACAACCAGAAACAGCTAGGACTACGTGCAACCAAACACAAACGAGCTGTGACACCACGGGCAGGGCAAGACCGTCAAAGAGGGCCGTGTCTGGGGTATGACAATATCCACCAAATCAAAACAGGCAAAGCCAAACAGGGAGGGGGAGAAACGTGCGGGATATGTAATTTTTGTCCAACTGTCATCGGTGTTGAGCACATGACTTCGACAATGCGGCAACACCTGGAGAAGAAGCATCTCTAATATATGTAGTCTGGTTCAACTTCAACCAGACCCGGAAAACAAATTCAAACTCAACTTAATTTTGATCTACAATCCTCCACTCTCTCAACTTGGCAATACAATGCACTCAAAACACGAGAGGCAATAACAAGATACATAGTTTCTACAAACTCTCTCATTTCTTTATTTGAAAATCCTTATTTTGTTGAAATAATTAAAAATGCATTTTGTCCAGCATATAACCCTGTTAGTAAAGGTACAAGTAAAAGGGACATACAAAAACTTTATAAGGAAATAAGTGATAAACTTAAAAACGATTTTCAAAATTTTGGGAATATATCTATTGTACTTACTTCGGATATATGGTCTGCTAGATAAAAAACATATTTTTTGAGTGTCACAATACATTACCTAGATCATAGTTGGGGTTTACAACAAAAATTAATAGGTTTTAAACCATTATATGCTAAATATAGTGTTAACACTATTTATTTTACAATTACTGAAGTTTTGCAAGAATATGTATTAACTAATAGAGTTGTAGCGCTAACGCTAAATAATGCAGCTGTTAACATCGCGACAATTTCTTTATTTGAAAAGAGATTGAATCTGCGTAGTGAAGGCAAATTTTTTTACTAGAGATGTGCTTGTTACATCATCAATTTGATTGTTAAAGCAGGTTTAGAAGCTATAAATTCGAGGATTAAAAGGGTGCGCGCGGCTATTTGATTCATCACAGGTAGCAATACAAGATGGCAGAAGTATGTTAAATATTGTCGCCAAGAGGAGCCGCCAGTTTGACCAAAGAAGTTATGTACGAACATGCATGTTCATTGGAATTTCACGTACTTGATGTTGGAAAAAGCTTTGATAACTGCTACACAAATTACAGAGTTCATCAATCAGAAGAACTATCCGGACGAAATCGTCAGTTATGATGATTGGACAGTTTGCCAACTTCTTTATTCATTTCTTAAAGTTTTTTACAATTCCACTAATACATTAAGTGATATTTATTATCCTATTACTGATTTAGCATTAGATATTTTACTTCAAATTTCTAAAACTTTTGTTAAACATAGATATAATGAAGACTTAATGGAAATTGTTTCAAAAATGGAAACAAAATACCAGAAATATTGGTTAGATATTACATTCTTATATGGATTAGGCCTTATTGTAGATCCTAGGTTTAAATAACAAAATGCATGTTCGTTGGAACTTCAAGCACTTGATGTTGGTCTATAGTTCTTATTTGATAGACTTTAATAGAAAATTGAAAAGTCTTTTTTCTTTATATCAAACTAAGTACAATGAAACATCTAGCATAGACAATCAGTAGGACCCTGATGAAGACATTTATCAAGGATCGAGTACGTGGACGTATATAGAACATTGCAGAAGTATTTGCTCCAACTCATACAGACATGAACCAAATAAGCTGCATTGATACCGATAAATAGACATATCCTACATGACAAAGAAGGAGAAACATGAGATAGATCTGCTTCAATGGTGGAACCAAAATCAAAGTTAATTCCCATTGTAGCCTAAATGGCATGTGACATTTTATCTGTACCAGTTTCAATAATTGCATCCGAGTCAACATGCTCAATTAGTGGTCGGATTGTTGAAGACAGAAGATACTCGTTAACCAATGAGATGGTTGAAGTCATAACATGTTATGGGATTGGATTTATGCAGACAAAAGACTACAGTAGCACCCTGAAGATCCTGAACTACTCGAACTCTTTAGGAACACAGATTTGGACGATGTAAGTATTGACGATATAAATGAATAATTTAATTAAAAAAATTATTTAATTATTTATTTGTGAAGTGTGATTGTGTGAATATTATATTTATGTTAAAATTAATTAATTAAATTATCTCTTTAAAGTTTAAATTAAAAACACCCTAAATTTATAACTAATTAACCATTCATTTTTTTTTAAATAATTAATTAAAAAATTTACAAATCACCCCTAAAAATTACATAAACCCCCAACATAATTTTCGATTTAACCCCAAATATAAAAAAAATTAGGGTTGCCAGGCCCATATTATTCTTAACAATTATATTTGAATTATGAATTATCATTCAATATATAAACATTTATTGCGTAGTAATAAAAATATAAAATTCATTAATTTTCTAATTATATCTTTTGAAAATTTCAAACATTTTAATCTAGATTATCTTCAATTTCAAAATTCTTCTCCAACAAGATGAAGAAATTTTTATTCAACCATAACTAATTGTCAACAATATAATCTCCTATTGATCTTCATTTTAATGCTAATTTAAATAGTTCACGTATTTTTGGAATTTAGTTGAATCTCAATTGGTTTATTAAGTGATATGATATACTAAATTTGTTTCACACTATATTCTATCTTGGATTCGGATAAATTTGAACTTCTTAGATCTTATCTCAAAGTTCGTGTTCTAAGCTATAAATACATGCTAAATCAGTTGTTCCTATTTCTCCAATGGCGTCTCCAAGATCAATTTCTTATGCTTCTTTCTGTTTCATTATCAAACTGTTTTATAAGCCTTTCAAGTGCTTATAATGTTTCCTCTGACGGGAGAGCAATCTCATTGATGGTCGACGTGGTTTTGCTTTCTGGATCAATTCATTACCCGAGAAGCACACCAGAAGTAATCTTTTATTTTATTTTTTATTCATTGTTGTTTTCTATTGGACAACAAGTAACATAGGTTTTGTTAATATTGATTTACAGATGTGGCCTGACCTTATAGGAAAGCGAAGGCGGGGGGTTTGGTGCAATGAGACTTATGTTTTCTGGAATGCTCATGAACCATCACGTCGCCAGTATGATTTTTGGCAATCTGATCTTATAAGGTTCATTAAAACCATCAAGATGAAGGATTATATGCTGTTCTTCGAATTGGACCATATGTTTGTGCTGAATGGAACTATGGGTAAGTTAATTTCTATCAATTTAATTTCCATCTTCATCTTCACAAAATATTTTATTATAATCTAATCTTCACTATCCAATGATCAGAGGGTTTCCTGTGTGGTTACATAACATGCTGGAGTTCAAGAGCTTCGAACCATAAACGAAGTGTTTATGGTATGGATGGAACATTTTAACTCTTTATAATATTCTTAGTGTTTTTTCTTTTTTTTTTAAGATTTGTGACAATATATTGTTTTTTTTCTAGAATGAAATGCAAAACTTTACAGCTTTGATAGTAGACATGGTTAAACAAGAGAAACTCTTGCATCTCAAGGAGGCCCTATATCCTGCTCAGGTATATACAACCATTATAAATTTTGTAAGTGTTAGTATCAGAGTATTTAGTTAATTATTTATGTAAATTTTGTAACTGTTAAAATTTTGTCTGTTTGACAGATTGAGAATGATACGGAAACATGATATCAAATATGGAGAAGCTGGGAAATATATATGACTGGTGTGCTAAAATGGCTGATTCACTTGTATTGGAGTACCATGGATCATGTGCCAAGAGAGTGACGCTCCCCAGCCAATGGTATATATATTTGATTCACGTTTAGAATATTTTATTTTGTTTTGGTT